ATTCCTACATGTCTTTGCAGAATTAAAGAATCTCCTTACCTGAAAACTAGGGAAAATCATCTGCCTGTACAGAACACTTGTGATGGTCATGTGAGTTAATCTGTGTGACAGCATTTGCTTAGGCCCTGGGGTAGTGAACCTTGCATGAATATTGTTGTTCCTCCTGGATTCTGGGCCCTCTCTTTGTCAGTCAAGAAATGGTTGTTAAGCTTTTGCTAGATGCTGGACAAAGCTTTTGTACTGTGGACACTAGTGAGCAAGACAGAATCTGTGTGTTCATAGAGCTCACAGACTCTTGGTCCAAAAATCTTTTGCCAAACATACAAGCTGTGTAGACAGAAGTGTGCATCTTCACTGGGAATCTTTGCTCTTCCCTTTTGCATTCACATTCTTTCCTTGCCTCTGTGAATTTTAGCCTCACCTTTCCAGGGGCATTGTGACAAGCCTTGTGGCTTGTTCTTACAGCAATGACTTCTACCTGATTGTTCTGTGACCCATGTTCATTAGGTACAACTCTTCTTTGTCTGCACCCTGCATTGCTTTGCCCATTTAGTCATGTGGAACCTTCACAAGGCCTTTGCCTTCCAGCTCTGCATGTCTTCTCCAAGGTCATGCATGGCTTAGCTTAAATTCCACTCCAAGGCTCCTCACAGCCTACTCCTTGGTCCCTCATCCCAAGAGAGGAGGCTTCATTCTTCCCATGAGCCTCCAAAACAGTCTCTCCTGTGTCTCACACTATTTCACCATGTGTATGAAGTTAGGTTTTTTTTAATGTGTGTATTTAGTACAGGATCTACAGGGTTTTACTACACAGATCAGACTTGTAGTGATCCTCCTCTTTTCAGCCTCCCAAGCACTGGGATTACAGGTATGCACCACCACTCCTAGTCTCAATCACTGACTCAGTGCACCCAAGGGGCAGGGCTGGCATGGCACAACTGGGGATTGAACCCCAGTCCCTGCATCTGCCTAAGCAGGTGCTTTAATCTGCTGAGCTATTTGGCTGGCCCCTAATTTAAGTTCTGATTGCTTCTTCTTGACTTGACCATGAGATTTTTTTTTCTAGTAATATCATTTATTTGGTTTTCAACCATATCGGTGAGAATAGTTTTTCAAATTTCCCATACAACCATTTTTCAGCATCTGAAGAGTGATGACTTGCAAAGAAATGATTTGGATTTTTTTCCGCCTCCAAAATATTTATCAAATCCTCTACCTCTCACAGGCTTTTGAAACAGGTAAAAAATAAATAAGAAATATTCCAATGAATGAAACATACCAAATGTCAGTAATAAGTGGCACATTCCTTTGGGGAAGTGGCTGTTATTTTTTTTTTAAATCCAGTCTGTATATGCAAAGTAAGCAAGGAAATTTAGGCTTTTTTTCTTCTTTAAAAATCATTTACTCCTAAAATATCATTCCACAAAATTGGAAATAAAGGACTGAAAGGCCAAGAGAAAGAGAAAAAAGGAAGGGGGCACACAAACTGAAGCAGTTTATAACAGACTGGGGTCACACTCCCAGCCACCGAAGGCAGCCTGAAGAACTTCACCGGTCCACAGGAGCTGGGTTCTCTTGGTGAAGCTGGGTGAAGAGCGATTTACTGCTGTGGAACACTCCCCCTTCCTACTCCAAAGCCAGACTTCTGCACCATTCCTCCATGGGAAGGGTCTCTTACACCACTGCCCAGCCAACCTCAGGGGCCTCCAGGTCATTGCAGGCAACTATCTTGATGGTCCCCTTTCCTGGCAGCACGGGTCTTCTCTTCCACACTCAGATGGACTTCACCTCTGAACATGATGGTCGTGTTGTGAAGGTCCTTCTGCACAGGCTCAGAATCATTGAACATGACAAAACCAAACTTGGGTAGCTTCCCACTGCTGTTTATGTGCAGCTCCACCACATTCCCATAGTTTTGAAAGAAATCTTTGAGTTCTGATTTGTCCACCTCATGAGGCAGGTTCCCAATAAAGAGCTGGTGGCTGTCCAGATGTCTCACAATTCTCCGAGGTTCAACATCACCTTGCTCCCCAGCTTCACGAGTTGGCCTGGGTCCCCTCTGGGGAGGAATACTTATTCATTGTTCTCTCACTCTTTGATCCCTCTGGGGCCTCTGCAGTGGAATCTGAGATTCAGGTTTAGATTCTGGCTGGGACTGTGATGCTGGTACTTTTACAACATGAAGAGGTATCCCAGTACCAGGAACAGCTCCATTAGGAGGAAGGTTCTTACTGGTCACAGATGCCCAAGAAAATGTCTGCAAGTCCTTCTTACTGTCTGAGCTATGTCTGTGGGTGCTGGAGAAGAACTCCTCTGAGCATCCTCAGGAGCAGCTTCTTCTCAAACAGACTCAAATTTTTCTTCTTGGATTTCAGATGCAGGTTCTTGCTCTGGTTCTGGTTCAGAATCAGGCTCTGGTTCAGCAGAGGGTTCCTCTAAATGTTCTTCCCGGTCACTGCTGACAGTCTGATCATAAAAAGTACCAGAATCATCAAGTACAGCCTCAGGGGTCTGCTGTCCTTCTTCAGGCTCTTCTACTTCTTCCTCAGATTCCTCCTGAGGCTCAGTGACAAAGCCACCAAAGACCTCATCTTGGTATCTGAAGATAGCATTATGAACATAGGATTTATTTGCAATCGAGCCCTCAGGAGCAAGGACAAACATCTGCACGAACTTCTGCAAAGCCTGGTTGTTGTTAGAGAGCAGTCCCATGACCTGGACCACCACACCATCATTCAGGGTAGCATGTGAATTGATGTGGCGGGTCTTGGTGTAGCAGTTGATGAAGTTTTGTGACATCACTTTCCTATGAATTTCTTTCTGTCCGTAGACTGCATCTGCAGGTTTTCCATTTGAATCCAATCCCCTGTGGACATAGGAAGAGTTCTTTCCATAAAATCGATGCATCATGTCCGGGGTCCTGGTTCAGCAGGGTGTAGTACAGTCTCACAAATTTCTGCCCAACCAGCAGGGCACTAGACTCCCCCATAACCATTGCTTTGGTCAACTCAACCTGCACAGATAAGCGGGCATGAAACAAGCTGTGCTGCACAGCACAGAAGGTGACAGAATCCCCTCACACCACCACATTCACTTGACTGTGAGTTCTTTGAGGGCTCCATCTTTGGTCCTGCAGTGTCTTCCATGTGTTGCATAGGCTCTGAGCAAATATTTATCACATGTGTGAATGAATGAAGACCCTTAGTTTGTCTGGCTCCATTTGGTAGTTGAAGTCAAGCTAAAGGTGCTTTTCTCCATCCTCTTTATGTTTATTTGAGAAGATATATATTGTTCATTGGGCTTTTGGCTGAAAATGCAGTTTATTTTGTTTTCTTTTTTCTTCTCTGGGTATCTAGCTGACCTTGTGCTTTCTCCTCACTGGTGAGATGTTTTTTTGTTACTTGTGATCTACTTTGTCCTATTACATCATTTTGAGGAGTTTGCAGGGAAGAGAAATTTCACAGAGCTGAGAAACATCCAAATAAAGCATTAGCAATTCCTGCCCTGATACCTTCCAAACTGGAAGATATATGGAACTGTATACAGGAAATACATGCAGAAAGCACCCTGAATAGAAATGAAGACCATTAGAATGGACAGTGATTTTGTTCTGCAAGGATCTATCTATCTATTTATCTGTCTATTTATCTGTCTATCTATCTATCTATCTATCTATCTATCTATCTATCTATCTATGCATTGTCATCATGAAGTATTTTTTTTCTCCCCCTTTAATGAAAACCTCTCAGTGGAGTCCATGCTGTGGGAAGCAGCCAGCATCTACCTTGTTAAACTGACTTCAGGATTAGAACTGGGCAGTGTACCCAGAGGACCTGGTGGCTACTACAGTGGGAAGGGAGGGAGGATGTGGGTTTTTGGTTTCACTACACAATGCAGCAGAAGAGGCTCAAAAGCAAAGCCCTCCTGCAGTAGGTCCACACACCGGACCAGAGACAGCAGCTGCAATGGAAACTCCTGAACTAAAGGTTCAATTGTAGGTGTGGAAAACAGGAAGCACTGTGCGACTTCATTCTTTCAAGGTCACGGCCAACTGGAACAATTTGGAGCTAAGAATGAGGACTTAGTTTGGATGTCCTACCTGGGTTTCAGTGCACCTCTGCCACTGTCATCCAGGAAAATTCCATAACTTCTTCAAGCCGGCCTCCTTAATTATAAAATGGGGTGAAAAAATAGGCACATCCAAGGTCACTGCTCAGGGCTCCAGCAGGAAGTAAATAGCATATTTCTGTTTGAGCAAACATTAACAAGAAGGCCCTTCATAAAAAGGTGGTTGCTTCAGGGGCAGTGCTGTATTTGGGCTCAGTATGAAGGCCTCGATACCAGCTCTAGGGCCAAACAGGGCCCTGTAGGAGATCATCTACAGAACCTGGGGACAGAGAAGCAGTGCAGAGAGGTCCATTCGGCCAGCACTGGAAGACTTCCAGCCAGTGGTCTCCTTACCCTTAGGCTTCTGCTGATTCTGCCTGCTGGTGGTCCCTACATGAGTTCACGAGCAGGGAGCCCAATGGGGTAGAGTCCGTGGCAGACAGTGCGTTTGGCCCAGAGAAGTTTGGGCTGTGGATATGGAGGGGCGAATGGAAGATATGCAGAACCAAAGGGCCTGCTAGGATGAAATGAGACGATCAACAGAAGGTGCAGAGCAATGACCTGTGCAGTATCATACTCAATAGACACATACTATTTCTTATCATCATCATCTCTATTATCATGATGATGGTCATCATCATCATAATCATGACCATCATTACTATTAACACCAGCGCTATTATTACTAAAGTCCCCTCGTGGGCCTGCTGCCAGTCAGCTGTAACTGTCTCACACACCCACAGTGGGGCCCAATCATTGGTGCTGAGCTTTCTCCAAGGCATTTCTGTACCTTATATGCAAAGTATACTAAGTCCAGCCAGAGAAACTGTGGTGTGCCATAGAACCCTGCCCTGGTTCCCCCACATCTCAGTATTTGTTTTTTTCTCTACTAGGGGAGACTGCCCTGTTGAATCCTGGCCCTCCAAGGGGACAGCAGCTGCGTCCGAGTGCGACTGTACTGGGAGGACCCACCTTTGAAATGAAAGCCATGCCTTGGAACTGGACTTGCTTGCTCTCCCACCTGCTCATGGTGGGGATGGGCTCCTCCACTCTGCTCTCCCGACAGCCACCCTCACTGTCCCAGAAGCGGTCTTTTGTCACATTCCGAGGGGAGCCCACTGAGGGCTTCAATCACCTGGTGGTGGATGAGAGGACAGGGCACATTTACTTGGGGGCTGTCAACCGGATTTACAAGCTCTCCAGTGACCTGAAGGTCCTGGTGACCCACCAGACAGGGCCAGATGATGACAACCCCAAGTGCTACCCACCCCGCATTGTTCAGACCTGCAATGAGCCCCTGACCAGCACCAACAATGTGAATAAGATGCTCCTCATCGACTACAAAGAGAACAGGCTGATTGCATGTGGGAGCCTGTACCAGGGCATCTGCAAGCTCTTGAGGCTGGAAGATCTCTTCAAGTTGGGGGAGCCCTTTCACAAGAAGGAGCACTACTTGTCAGGGGTTAATGAGAGTGGCTCCGTTTTTGGGGTGATCGTCTCCTACAGTAACCTGGATGACAAACTCTTTATTGCCACAGCAGTGGATGGAAAGCCTGAGTATTTTCCTACCATCTCTAGCCGGAAGTTGACCAAAAACTCTGAAGCAGATGGCATGTTTGCTTACGTCTTCCATGATGAGTTTGTGGCCTCAATGATTAAGATCCCTTCAGACACCTTCACAGTCATCCCTGACTTTGATATCTACTATGTCTATGGCTTCAGCAGTGGCAACTTTGTCTACTTTTTGACCCTGCAACCTGAGATGGTGTCTCCCCCAGGCTCTACAACAAAGGAGCAGGTTTATACATCCAAGCTTGTAAGACTTTGCAAAGAGGACACGGCCTTCAACTCTTATGTGGAGGTGCCCATTGGTTGTGAGCGCAGTGGGGTGGAATACCGCTTGCTGCAGGCTGCCTACCTATCCAAAGCTGGTGCTGTGCTTGGCCGGACCCTGGGTGTCCATCCAGAGGATGATCTTCTCTACACGGTCTTCTCAAAGGGCCAGAAGCGGAAAATGAAGTCTCTGGATGAGTCAGCCCTATGTATCTTCATTTTAAAGCAGATCAATGACCGCATTAAGGAGCGGTTACAGTCTTGCTACCGGGGTGAGGGCACGCTGGACCTAGCCTGGCTCAAGGTGAAGGACATCCCCTGCAGCAGTGCGGTGAGTTGGGGAGGCCCTGAGGCTGGGATGGTGGGTCGTGGACGATGGGTACTCTGGCCGTATAGCCTCCTCCTGCCCTTTTTGTGGCTGGGCTGAGTACATCTCATCTTAGGCCTCTCTGGATTTAGACCATCACTGCTCAAGTATCCTGAGTGCATAAGAGGCAGAGCTGGAGCTGAAATGTCCATTTCCCATTGGTATACTGTTCTCTGTTCCTTACTGGCTCCCTGGTAATGAGAAGGAGTGCTGGGAACAGTAGGAGTGTGCGTAGTAGGTGTCCTGGGCACCAGGCATAGTAAAACTTGGACTACATTACGCCATAGCACAAGCCATGTGCTGACCTTTCTCATGCCCTAAACCTGTGAATCACTTTCCTGGGAGGTTAGAATAAAGCCATGGAAGAGTGCAGAGAGAATTCATGCCACATTTGGGATGGATGTGGGATTTCAGGAGAGTTATATTTTCAGCTCGTTTTTTTAATCTTTAGGAAATGACAGATTGAGAGCAGAAAAGAGCTAAGAGGTAAGCTATGTTTCTTAAGCATCTTTTATGTACATGGTGCCATGGAAAAGAAGTATCTCAAAGTCCAGAAGCACCCGGAGAGCAGCCCCAGGTGGCAGAAGTGCTGTAGGAACACAGAAAGCAGTGTACCTGTGCTATGCAGGAGATGTCCTTTACTTTGATTCCAGGGGCTTTCTCATGACCACAGGACCAGTGGGAAAGACAGACATCTTGCAGGGTGACCTCAGGTAGAATTTCATGACATCTTGCCTCTCCAGCCCTGCTTATTTGTGACCCAGTGTGAGGTGTACCTCCTTTCTAGGATTAACTTCTATTCATCTTTCAAAGTCTGCTCTTCTGTTGCCTGCTGGCTTTTTTTTTATGTATTTGGTTGTTACAGGGTCTCACTACACAGCTCAGACTCATAGTGATCCTCCTGTTTTCAGCCTCCCCAGCACTGGAATTATAGGCATTCGCCACCATGCCGGGACTCTGTGCCTGGCTCAGCCTGCTCTGGGGGCGGGGCTGGTATGGCATGTGGTGCCTGGGATGGAACCACAATCCCTGCACTAGCCTAAACTTTCCTCAGCAGGTGCTTCTGTCCACTGAGCTATCTAGCTGGGTCTGCCCACAGTCATTCTTTAAGTGATGCAGCAGGCCCAGCTATTGGCACCTTCCACGTTCTCAGTACTCTTCTTTCCATTTTTCCTTTAAAAAATAGCAACCTACTTTGCAGTCTATCTTGTGATCACTTGATTTGAGGAGAATAAAAGAAAATCGAGACCATTCCTCTGGCCAATGAGATCTGGGCTGGTGGTAATGAAGTGGGAAGAGGGAACACTTACCAAAGTTCATCACTGCCTTGATGTATAGACTCAGGATGCTTCTGGTGGGCAAGCAGCCTAGTTGTCTGGGCTGAAATGCAAAATCCCACTTCTTCTTAGAGATCTTAAAAGCCAGGAGACCCCTAATGGAAGAGGTCTCATGGGCTAAGTGGGGAAGCAACAGTAGGACAAATATGAGCCAGGCAAAATAATTTGGGAAATTCTGCCATTTGCAGAGTCCTAATTGCCAATGTAACCTTTGGGAATGCCTCCTGGAGTCCTTCCAGGTAATGATTGATCTACTCCAGAGGGTCTATGAGACAGGGTTAGAAACTTGGAAGACCAAGAAGTGCTCTCAAATGAAGACAGTCAATGACAGGCCAGTGTATTTATGTTATGCACACGATCTCAGTCGTGGGAAGGTGCAGCGTAACGTTGGCATGGAGAGGATCTAGACAGAGCAGTGGCAGTGGGCTGCTTATAACGAGCAGAGATTTATTTCCCATAGCCCGGGTGCCTGGAAAGACCAACATCAGGTTTTTGCATCTGGACCTTCTTCCTTTGTCATCAGATGGTAGAGGATGTCACATGGTGAAGGACAAAGAGAAGAGAAGAGAAAACACCAGAGGCACCTACACTTGCCCCATTCTTATCAACAGAATCTATCCACTCGGGAGCATAGCCCTCATGGCCTAATCACCTCTTACATGTTCCGCCCTCAGTGCTGTTAGGACATCAGTTAAATTGCAACCCGAGTCTGAGAGGGGACAGACTTGCAGAATATTACAGTGGTTTAAGCCTTCATTTCCCATTTGAGTCCCTGAGACACAGCAAGGCAAATGAACTGTCCAAGGTCACACATCTTGTGAGTGCTTGGCATAGTCAGCATTTGAGAACAAGTCCCCTTTGTGGATGGGGCACACACACATGTGCACACACATGCACGCACGCACACACAGATGCATGCATACTTACACACATACATTCAATACCCCTGCAACTGTGTACATATGCAACCTAGATTAGAAAAGGCTAAGTTTATACTGTAAACTCATTAAAGAAGAATTCTTTTGAGATCAGAGGGGTTGGTGATCTCTGATGCTTTCTGTAGAAAACTTGCTCCAACTATCTTTTAGGCTCTGTTTCCAGGAGCAAATGCATCTGCAGGGATTTCTCTGACTGCCATGGGCAGGTGGCTGTCCTGCTCCTGCTCCCTGCCACAATGCAAGCCAAGTTCACCATGGATGTCTGCAGTGCTGCAGGTCCTAACACCACATGGTAGCCTTGGAGAGAACAGAGGGAACACAACTTTGTGAGACAGGCTAATGCCGGGGCTGGGAGTAATGGAGCCAGATAACAAGCTTTTGATTTTTCTTTTGGCTTTAATTAGCTCTTTCAAGTCAGAGGCTAGTTCAGGGTAGAGAACAGAAAGGAGGAGGCCAGAAATTCTGCACAGGGCAGGGGCTGTCTCCTCAGCCAGGCTAAAAAAGGACCAGGCTGGCTTTTCATGCACAGTATCAGTTTCCTTTGATTTGCCTGATTCCCCGGGTTACTTTGCTGTGGCCCTCTTGTTGCAATTCATTTGGACTTGGCTCCATCACATGTGTTTTGTGCAACACAAACATCGGCCAGGCCAGGCTCCTGAGCTTCACATGGAATCTTCAGGGTTTTGAAGCCCAGATTTCTCTGAACTCATTCACAAGGCTCTTAGGCTGGTTTATTTTCATTTCCTTTCCTTCTAGAGACAGATGATGGACAAAATGAGTTCTGTAGTTCTCTTTTGCCTGGAAGTCTGGGTCTCCCTTGAGGCCTGTGTAGTAGGAATTGAATCCCAGATAGTGGCCATCATGGGGTGTATCTGCTATAGGAAAATGGTGGAGGAGAAAGCCCAGGAAGTTGACCTTCAGGGTTATGTTTCTTAGGGTGAGAGTCCCTTGCAGATCTTATTATAGTTACAACTTGAAGAGTTTAAAAACGGGATATAACCAATGATGAATTTTTATTGTGCTCCTTGTCCTAGTTCTTTAAATTAGAATGCTCATCCCAGAGTACTTGTCAGGCTTTTGTGGATGCTTCCACTTCCTGGGACTTCAGACCTCCAGAGCTCAGAGCCAGAAGCAGCGTGAGCGGCAGACCACTCACCTAACTTTGTCAGGCCCTGGAATTCCCTGCAGGGATGGCTGTGCTCAATAGGAGAGAAGAGTCCTGTGGGACTCAGCTTACTGTGCTTGGGGCTTCTGCGAAGCACTTGGTAGGGAATCAAGTTGGGCCATGAGGCCAGAGCCTGCTGACCACAAGCACCAGAGCGGATATTTATTTTCCTGCTCCAGGGGATCCAGGAACGGATGGTTGTACTCATGTCGAGACAAGGCTAGCTGGCCAGGCATGGCCTCCTTGTGGGAATGTGTTGCGGTCACCGTAAATGCTCACTGTGAATGCAAATCTCCAGGCTGTGGCTGAGTGCTGAGGGCAAGGAGCACCCATGTACTTTGTGGCATTTGTGGGGATGGGAGCAGCTCCACATTTGCCTTCTGGAAAGTGTGCTCTGTCCCTGTGCCGTGCTGTTTTTCTAGCTTGAATGGACAGGGAGAATCCAGGAATGAATGTGCTCATGTCTGTCAGTTTCTCTAAGGATCTCATAAGGGCCCAGGCACAAGGAGAGCCCTAGAAGGACCTTTCAGGGGTGCCATTTTCTTTTAGGACTTAGAGAGCTAGACTCACCTGGGGCCAAGGTGCTGAAGGACACTCACGTGGGTGGTTGACAACAGTGGCCCAGTGGCATCATGCCTGGAGCTCAGCACCAGGGCATCTCCATCTCTGCCTCTTTTTGAAGGCTGCTGTGCAGATTTCCTGACACTTTCTATCATACAGCATATGACTGTAGGACTGATGGTCCCACGCAGGGGTTTTGTCATGTGCTGAGGCCCTGCATAGACCAAGGTGCCTATTCCCAGTCCTTCTTTTGCACCTAACATTTCTGACCTGCAGTGGAACAGCCTGCTGGAGAGTGTGCTGCTGCCAGCAAGGTCTCTGTCTTCCATGGGCCAAGTGTCTAGGGTCCCCCATTCTCCTGGGTGTGGCTATCTGTGCTCCTCTCCCCTCCCTCAGCCTTCTGGGAACACCTCACTGAATACCAGCCTCTTGTCTCCAAGTGAACCAATGAACTGCAAAGCATATGGCAACGGAATGTGTTGCTGGAGGTGAAGATCACGACGTAGTGTCCAACGGCCCGTCATGCCCATCGTTGTGGTCTGTGCAATGGCAGCAAGGGCCCTGGCCCTGGAAGCTGCCAGCAGTCTTCTCATGCAAGTCCTCCTAAGTTCTGAACCAATTAAGAAATGGACTGCACCAACCCCACGGCCCGGGCATCCTGAGCCAGCGACAGAGTGTGGACGTGGTGGTGCACACCTGTAATCCCAGCCCTGGGGGGCTGAAAACAGGAAGATCACTATGAGTCCAAGCTGCATAGTGAGACCCTGTACCAAATACACAAATGAAAAAAAAAAGTGGGAGCAAAAGGCGGGTGTTGCCAGCTCTAGAGCTGATAAACTGGCTAGAGGGTGTGGCGCTGAGTCCAAGTAGTGTGAGGGGTCATCATTGACCCCTCACATTTGACCTTAGAGTGGTCTTGAATTAGAAAATATGATTCTGGGGTACTGACTCATCCTCCATGTG